GGGTTTGTGTCCTGGCTTCCATGCTAACTAGCTGTGTGATGTTGGGTTCCTTTAAGTGCCCTGAGTTTGTTTCCTAATCTGTAAATTAGGAATATTACCAGCGGGTTGTTAAAAGGATCAAATAATATAACATCATGTACCTATAAAAGGTTGTACCATGTGAAGTCTTTTGATCAAGGGTCAGAGTCAGCAGGTGAATCCAAGAGGTCAAATTCAGGTATCCAGTGCTCTTGTTTCTGTACCACACTGCTTCTGCTTTGCCCTGTTTCTGGACGCTACCTCACTCAAGATCCTTTTCCGGTGTCAGTCCCTGTTCCCTTGCCAGCCCGGAAGCTACTCTGTCCCTCCCAGCTTCTTTGAGGGCTGATTTACTGATTGCCGGTTGATAACCCCTCCCTAGAGAGCTGCCCGGAGCCAGCTATACTTCCAGTCTCTTGGGCCTTGTGACTGCCGGCCAGAGTTCCCTCCTTGCCTTCCTGCCTGGGCCAGCCCAGTGTTGGGCTTGTAGGGGAAGAGTTCCCAGTCACACTACCACACCCACTCCTCTGCTCTGTGTGGGACTGAAGACTTACAAGCCCAAGAGGCCTGATCTCAAAATGCCAGGGTCTCCCAGATAATCCTGTGGACACAAGTGATGGCCTTTCCCCCCCACCCAAAAAAACCTGGTTGTTTCTTTCCCCAGGGAAGGCATCACAGAATTCTGAGAATGAATGTGCCCTAACTTGCCCCAATTGCCCAGGCGTTATGCATTTGCTGACTCAGTCCTCCCACCCCCACCCTGTGCTCCTGGGGGCCTTTCATATGCCCATCATCCTATCCCCTGCTCCCAGGGTTTTTGATGTCTCATTTCATCTACCTAGTACCCTTGTCACAGGCATTTTTCTTCCCACTTCATGGATTGGGAAGCTGAGGCCCAGAGAAGCTAAGTGCCTCATGCTGGGTTGCAGGGAGTCAGCAGCAGAGCAGAGCTGGGACTAGGATTTATGTTAGGTCTCTTGACTCCCAGTCTGAGGTTCTCTCCACTGCCTTAGGGGACCCTTATTTCCTTCCCAGAGCCATTCCCTGAGGTTCTCTATCCTCTCACCTGAGGTTGAACGCATGTTTATTCATTCAAATAAGATGGAAATATTTTTAATCCCCAGAGGGGCAACCTCAGGGAGTGAAACCATTTCCCTCCAAGCTGGGACCAAGTCCTGGGTCCTGTGCAGCTCCCATATGACCAGAATTCCTTTTCTGCTTCCCAGGGAGGGATTCCTTCCCCTCCCCCCCCCCCCATTTGATTGTTGAGGCTTCTGAACCAATGGTTGAGAGGTCAACCTGAGGGGTAAGGGGTTCTCAGACCAGGGTATAGTATGTGTGAAGTGAAATGGGGAAAATGGGCTTGTGGTGATGGTGCTTGGGTAGAACAAGGGATACTTAGAGACTGGATGGGTCTAAAACGGCTGTCCCTTCCAGGGAGCACAGACCTGGTTGTGGGAGAGAGTCAGGGAAAGGAAGTCACATACTGGCCAGAAAAAAAGTCCCCCATGGCCAAGAGGAAGTAGCCAATGAGAGGAGGAATCTTGCCATAGCAGTATAAATAATCACAGGGCTTCCGGAAGCTCTGCTCTGTCCCAGAATTCAGAAGTTCCTCTCCCCAAGGCCCTGTGAACTACAGGGGAGACCAGGGTATTGGCTGGAGCTGGGACTTCTCTCATACTTACCCCACTAATAATTACAGCAGCCTGTTTATTTGGTACTTCCTATGTGCCACACCTCATGCCAAACACTTGCTTCACATTAGCTCATTTCATACTTTTGGCAATTCTAACACAATAGGCAAGATTGTTCCCATTTTACAGATGAGAAAATTGAGACTCAGGAAACTTAAATATGTTGCCCAAGATCAAACATGACTGGTTGGTGGAACTGAGATTAGAATCCCTGGCCAATCTGACTCCAGCATATATTCTCAGTGATAGTGCTTTAATGTCGCTATGTTTTCTACCCGAGTTTAAAAGCTTCTGAAATTTTTCAGAGGCACATGCCATGATCTTAGGAAAAGGACAGAGGAAATAAATGTTTTCCTCTTCCGTCCATTCCTCTTGTCTGGGCTTGGAGGATCTACCTCACCCCACCAAGAGCCTTGAGAGAAGATGCTAATGTCTGGGAGCCACAGCCTCTGCCTCATTCATCATCATTACACACCCAGATTCCAGACCAAATCCCAGCCCTGGCACAATCTCCAGTATTCTCCTGCACTGAGTTGCCAGATAGGGTTTGTTGTGCTTACAAGAATTATGGGGTCAGCTCTCCCTCCTTTTCCTCACCTCTCAGGCACCCTGGATTAAGATAGGGCAGCCGTCTAGAGAAGTGTGCTCCTTACTCAGCAGGTTTCTCATTGTGCCTTTTGGTTTTCACACAGTAGCCAAGGTGTCAGGCTTAAGAGTTAAAACATAGTGCACTGGGCAGAATAGGCCCTGAGTTGATAGAGACTCCACACTGCATCTCAGAGTGACCTGGGACAGCTGCTCTGTGCTAGAACCCCTCTCTAGTCTACTCAGTGGGAGGGGTCCCTGTCTGGTAGAGGATCTGGTAGATCCCTACACTTGTATACTGTCTTTTGTGTTTATACTGCCTGGAGGAAAAGGAAAAAAGTAGCTAATGCTTAGTATGACCAAGGCACTGTTCTAAATGCCTTACATGTATTAATTTACATAATCCTTACAACAACCCAATGAGGTAGGTATTATTTTATCCTCATTTTACAGATAAGAAAACTGAAGCATAGAGAGGTTAAGTAATTTGTCCAGGGTCACACATGTACAAATAGTAGAACCAAGACTTGACCTTATTCAGTTTGGTACCAGAACTTAGGTGCTTCACATAATACATAATGCCATCTTCCTTACACCTGAGTATCTTTGCTTGGTCTTAGGGCCTCTCTCTCACTGTGTATCTGCCTCTCTAACATCTGTCTTGATGGGATTGCAGGATGGTGTCAGGTTAAGAGAACAGGAACTGGTTTCCTTCTGTGTGTCCCCATTCTTCTTCCCAATGGGTAGAGGCCTCCATAACCATGAGTGTCCCTTTGATCTGTCCATAGGTCACTGCATCCAGAGGGGCCCAGAAGGGGAAGGAGGCATTGCCTCCACTGTAGCAGCTGCACCCACGATGCAGAGCATCAAGTGTGTGGTGGTGGGCGATGGGGCTGTGGGCAAGACGTGCCTGCTTATCTGCTACACGACTAATGCCTTCCCCAAGGAATACATCCCCACGGTGTTCGACAATTACAGTGCCCAGAGTGCAGTTGACGGGCGCACAGTGAACCTGAACCTGTGGGACACAGCGGGCCAGGAGGAGTATGACCGACTCCGCACACTCTCCTACCCTCAGACCAATGTCTTTGTCATCTGTTTCTCCATTGCCAGTCCGCCCTCCTACGAGAATGTGCGGCACAAGTGGCATCCGGAAGTGTGCCACCACTGCCCCGACGTGCCCATCCTCCTGGTGGGCACCAAGAAGGACCTGAGAGCCCAGCCTGACACCCTACGGCGCCTTAAGGAGCAGGGCCAGGCGCCCATCACACCGCAGCAGGGCCAGGCCTTGGCCAAGCAGATCCATGCTGTGCGCTACCTCGAGTGCTCAGCCCTGCAGCAGGACGGCGTCAAGGAAGTGTTTGCTGAGGCTGTCCGGGCTGTGCTCAACCCCACGCCCATCAAGCGTGGGCGGTCCTGCGTCCTCTTGTGACCCTGGCACTCAGCTTGGAGGCTGCCCCTGCCCCCCCACCAGTTGTGCCTTGGCGCCTTGTCTGCCCCCAGCTGTGCCTTAAGGACTAATTCTGGCACCCCTTGCCAGGGGGCTCCCTGAATGCCCTTTTCTCTGAATGCCTATTTCTCCTAAAGGAGGCCCACGGAGAAAGGGGCTTTGGGCCCTGCCCCACTCTGCTTGGGAACACCAGGTATTCCTGAGAGCTCACCCAGGCCAAGGTTGGACCCCTCCCCAAGAAGCCAACCCAGTGCCCCTCCCCCATTTTCCCTACTGACCAGTTGATCCAGCTTTCCACACAGATGTTGCTGCCTATTATGGTGCCTTCTCTCAGGTTAGGAGCTCTCAGCTGTCCCTAACCTTTCCCTGGCTGCTCTTCGAATTGCTCCCCCCCCAAGATGCTCTCTCCCTTTCCCAAAGAAGGAGCCATAGAATCCTGAGAAGATGAATGTGCCCTAACCTACCCCCATGTGCCCAGGCCTTATGCATCTGCTGACTGACTCAGTCCCCCTCCCTCCCCGGGCTCCTGGGGGCCTTTTCTACCCCCATCAGCATCAATAAAACCTCCTGTCTCCAGTGGCCCTGGCTCCTCCCTGTGTGCTGGGCATTGGGGGTTGGGCAGGGGATGGGCATGGGCTAGGGCTCCCCAGAGACTGGGAGCCTTTTGTTTCCTGTAAAAGGGGACAGGAGACAATAGGCTTCATTGTGGTTCCCCCCAGCCCCCAATTTCCCTAACAAAGCTCTGGGCTCCCTTGGAGGGGCCAGTCTTGCTCTGGGGCCCAGCCACAGATTCTATAGTGGACTGAGATGCAAAGCATTAAGAAAAACTTTGTGATCTGAGGCTCAGAAAGGGAAAAGTTGAGAACCATCAGCCTGCAGGCAGGTGCTCACAGTCCTGCACTTGAGAGCTGTTGCCTTACACCCGAAGGTGGCAGGTCTCACCGACAGAGCTGGGGCTAGAACTAAGGCCTGTGCCTCAACCCAAGACTCCCCCAGTTATCCCAGCTACCAAGCCTGGAGTCATTACAGGGATAGCTCAGTCACTCCTCCTCACCAGAATTGTGGCTTAGACCAGTCTTAAGACACTCCAGATCTAAGGTGGGAAGAGGGGGGATAGGGGGATACCACTTGGAATCATACCCTGTCATGGACTTTTTCCCTCCATCCTGGAGCCTGTCCCTCACCCCAGTTCCAATTAAAGAAAGACGAGTCCAAGCCCCAAGACAAGTAAGGCTAGCCCAGACTGTTGGCAAAAAAAAAAAAAAAAAAAAAAAAATTTATTTTCCTTTGAAATAAAATGTACAACCAAAAGAGGTCAGGGCATGGGGCAGCAGGGAGGACAGCAGAGAGCCCATTTTGGGGCAGGAATCTGCCTCTAACTACCCTACACCTTTGCCAAGGAGGAAGAGTCGGTGAGCCATGGATTTCAGAAGGGAAGGAACAAATGCTGTGCCAGTGCTTTTCCTGGAGCAGGACATCCCTCAGGTATAGAACACTACCTCCACAAGGTAGTGTCAGAACCACACACTGGCAGAGCCCTTACAGATCCTACAGCCCTCCTACCCCCAACCACCTGCATGGACATACGAAGGCTTAGATGGGGAAGGGGTACACACTAAACAGGAGGTGAAGTCAGAGCTAGAACACCTGGGCAAACTTAGCAAGGGACTGTGGCACAGGCCTGGGCATGTGCAGGAGATAATCACATACACCAGTCAAGTGAATGACCCCGTGGAGAGAAATGGCTGTGGTTTTCAGGTAGCAGCCACTGCTCAGTGGTCCCTGACCTCAGCAAGAGGTGGCTATGTAAAGGCCAAGAACCGATGGTGGTTATAAACCTCAGCACTTTTTTTAGCACCAGATGGTGGAGCTCTCCTAACAGCTCAGCTTCTTGGGGCCTCTCCGATAAGGGTGATGCTGCTTGAAGGTCCCTGTGCCTTCAAGTGGGGTGAGGGAAAAGAGAAGCCAGCAGGGCTACCTAAAACCCTGTCCTGTGCCCTTCTGCCCTTCCTCCCCCTCCCCCAGCTTCAGCACAGCCCACAGAGGACACAGGGTGGGGAAGGCCAGAGTGGTGTCTTGTTTCTAGTTTCTGGGCAGTGGACCGCCTCCTCCTTTCTAGTAGGAGAGAAAGGGTTTAGAATCGCTTTTCCTCAGGCTGGGAGGTAATGAGCAGCTCCTTGTTCCCGAAGTCCCACCAGGCTGTCATGTGGAACGCCATGTTGGTTAGGACAACGGTGTACTCCAGGATGGCGAAGATGGTGTATACTGTTGCAAGGGCACAAGAACAGAGCATGGTGAGACTCCCGCCCCTGCCCCCCAGGGGCCTCTTGATAAATCGCCACCACCACACATCTCTACAGAGACACACTGGCAGTTAGCCCCCAAGGCCACTGCCATCTCGCACAGTATAGACAACATCATAACTGTCCCATAGCCACTGTGACCACATACGGATCCCAGCCTGGCCTCACCTCCAGCCTCACAATACATGTTGTGCCGAAAGTAGACAGCCAGCGCCGTGAAGAAGGAGATGAAGTTGATGACGAAAAGCCGCTGTTTCCAGTTGTAGGACTTGCGGTCCTAGAGGATGGGCTGTCTGATCACTCTGCAGCCTGTTGGATATGTGTGGGCAGCCTCCCCTCTTAGCCCCAACTCCTGAGGGCTGCGTCTTACCTCCCTTGGTTTTGGAAGGGGGCACAGGCAAGGGCAGCAGGAATGATGGGCATGTTCATATTCCTGCGTTTGGGAGTATAATGAAGCCAAGGAGCAGTGCTGTCCCTGCCCCTCCCACTTCAGCAGGATGGAATATGAAAGTTACTCAGAGTCACCCCCCAATCTGACACCTCCACATACTGTGGGGAGAAGAAAGGTGTCGGGGGGGGGGGGTGGGGAGGGGCACTGGAGTTATTACAGACCACAGACCCCTGACACAGTTCCTAACCCACTGCAGCCTGGGTGCTGTCCCTCATTCTACCATTTGGAGCCTCCATCTCTTCTATTTTCCAGTCTCCATTAGTACCCGACCACAGTCCTAGATTCTGACCAATCCATCACCCTCCACTCATCCCCAAGCCCCAGCCTCAGCCCGGATTCCCATTAGAACTCTGGTTCCCATCTCACCATTACCCGCATCCTGAGGACGGGTGTCCTTGATTTTCCCCTGGGCTGCTTAGAGCCCCACTAGGGGTAGACCGTACCTCCTGACTTACTGTGTGCTTCTTGGTCAGCCGCCAGAGAATGCAGGTGAGGAGCATGTGACTGAGGGAAGAGGCGATGAACACAATAAAAGCATTTTCGTGGATGGCTGGAGGGAGAGAGGAGGGTTGGGAGCGGGCACTACAGGAAGCATCCTAACCCCTCCCTCTGAAGGTCTGAGTGAGGGAGGGCGCAGGGGCGACCCTTCCCAACCCTTCCCCTGCTCCTCCTTCCCTCATGTGGACACCCACTGAAGTCCTCGGAAGAGGAGACGTAAGTGAGCACTAGCAGTGCGAGGTTCTCGACGACGTTGAGGCCAAAGTTGAGGCGGCAAAGCGGGCGGTAGCCAGGACACGGGGACGCGCAGCTGAGGTAGTGGTTCCAGTAGGCGAAGGCCACCAAGAAGCGGGGCGCTGAGTGCAGGCCGATGCAGAAGCGCCACACGTAGCGCTGGGGCACCTCCCCACCAATGGCCGAGCTCACCGAAGGCAGGTAGTTGGGCACCTAGAGAGTTGTGACCAGTCTGGTGGCAGGCCTCCACCAGCCCCACCCACCCACCTGGAGATCCTTCTCTCCATCTATCAAAATCACGCTGGCCCTCAGAAGGCTCCGCTCCAGCCCTTTCCTTTCCCGGAGGTCCTCCTTCAGGCACCTCGAGAGACAGCTCTCCTGGGAGACATCCCTTTCCAGGTCCCGGACCCCAATGTGCTTGTTCTCATTCCCCAAGCAGCCTGGGGTTTGTGCAGGGACTTGGTTGGACCTTTTCCATCTCCCTATACATGGAACCTACATATGGCTGGGGAAGCTGTAGACAGGTTCAGATGCTCTCTGAGCCCATAGCACAGAGCTATGGGAGATTCCATGGCCCAGGACCCCAGATTCAGTCCTGAGGACAGGGATGAGTCACAGACCACCTGAGCTTCTGTGCTGGATTCACGGCCCACCTGAGCTGTTCTTGACTGCTCTCAGTTCTACTAACTCTTCTGGGCAGGTGTTGCCAAGGTGGTAGAGGGTACTGTGAGATCCTGGGGGACCTGGGTCAGGAGGATACCCCCACCCTGATCATGCTTAAGAAAGTGGGTGCTCCTAACCTGGGGTAGTCTAAGAAAATGACCTATTCTTGTGCATCCCTCCCATTCCTCTTTCTCAAAGCCTAGAATTCCTTATTCCTTCAGGAACTGGAGCACTATTCTTCACGGTTGAGGAAGGAGGAGGAGATAACACACAGCTGCGAGGACTGGTGTGTTGCTCGTGTGAGAGGGTGAGAGGATGAGGGAAGAACAGTCTAGATGGGGACAGGAAAGCCAGGGAGAGGAGGAGGATCTCTCAGACTCCAGGGTCTGGAGCAGTGCTTCTACCTTTAACATGCGTACAACTAACCAGGGATTGTGTGAGGATGTTGGGGGTCTGGAATCTGAGAATCTGCATTTCTAAAGGATTCCAGTACTGGAAGCTACCGGTCCGTGGCACTCTCTTTCTGTGGACTTTTTTAGACTGTCAGCAAGAACCAGAGCAGTGCCAGAGCCCAGGGACCCAGAGAAGGAATGACCGTGCTGTGACTATAGCAGGACCAGTCTTCAGAGATGGAGTTCTAGAAGATCCCCTCCTTTCTCCTAATGGTGATACTGATGGATCAATGCTGGGAACATAGGCAATGGTGGACGCAGCTCACAGGGCAGAGGTGGGCCTGGGGTAACGCCAGCCAGGGGCTTCGCAGCCTTCACAGAAAAGGAGACAGATTCCCCTCAGCACTACCAAAGGAAGCTAAGTGTAGAGCTCTCTGAGAGGGGGCCGCTCCCAAGGCCATGGCTTGAGATACCATGTAGCTTGAGACCAGGCTCAGATACTCACTCTGAGTAATCAGTAAAGAGACAGCATGGAGGCTTTGGAGCCACACAAACCAGGGTCTGCATCCCATCTCTGCCTTTATTAACCTACTCAAGGTCACTTCACCTCTCTGAGCTTTAATTTCCTCGTTGGCAAAATAGGGACACTACCACCTACCTTGCAGGATGATTGTGAATATTAAATATGATGTATGCAGAGCATCTGCAGTGTTTAGCACACAGCAGGTACAAGTTATGGCTTTCAGAAGACAAACTTCCCTGAAAAGCCTGCAAATAGCTGGTGAGCTATGTGGTTATTGAACATGGGAAGCCTGCATGGGAGTGACAGGCAAGAACTGTAACTTCAACAGAGACTTCTGAGCCCTCCAAGCCTCCTTACTTTTCTACCCCTCTGGGCAGGTCCCCTAAGTAAGGTTAGTGGGAGTGCTGCCTCTGTTTCCTAGAATATTCATTCTGAAAACTCCTGTCCCCATCCCAGCTACTTTAAGGAGAGCAGGACCAGCATGAGCTTTTTGTCTGTTTGTTTGTTTCCTCCAGCATGAGCTTTCTAAAGCTTGGCTGGGAGAGCCCAGAGCCCTAACTGATGCTGGGAAACAGGTAAATGGTAGAGATGGCAAAAATCTGGGAGGACACCACAGGAAGAAGGGAGATTTAGGGCCCTGTGGCTACTGGTGTCATCCTCATAAGCTCCTCTCAGATTAGGGGTGGAGATAGGATGCTGAGAGCAGGGATTTCCTCTTACCCCCACCCACACACACAAATATACATGCACGCATGCACACACATGCATAATCAGTATAGATATTCATTTATGTTCCCCCATCCCAAGCACACAAGTTCTCCACTCACCAACTATGCCAGCAACATCAGGAGCTATCAGAGACCAGGTGCCCAGCTCACCCCAAATCTCCCCATGAGCTCAGAGCTAAGGGTACTGAAGTGGGAACATAACCCCTTTCCCCAAGAACAGAAACCCTCTACATCCTAGAGGATGTGGCTCAGTGGACCTGTGGCAGGGCGGTAGATCAGAAAGTCACATGGTATAAAGGGTGAAGGTCCAAAAAATTCCCTATCAAAGCACCTCAGATTTCACCAATTGAGATTCATTCCTTTGATAAAAGTCCCCCAAACTTACGGATGACTTTGCTATCTACTGCCCCCATCCCTTGCCAACTGAACAAGACCTCCCATTCCTATCAATTCAACCTGCTACTCTTCTCTGGACTCTATCCCTGCCTCTCTACTTTCATAGTCCCTATTTTAGCTCTGGTCTTCCCAGTAACATGATCTATTTGCACTAGCCTCCTTACTTATCTCCCTACTCTTGCCCCCTGCCCTTAAATCTGTTCTCCACTCAGGAGCCAGAATGATCTTCTAAAGCATAAATCTGATCGTGTCCCTTTCCTGCTTAAAATCTTTCCAAAGCTCACCACTGCCCTCTGGATAAGATCAAAAGTTGTCAGCCTGGCATTCACAAAGATCCTTCTTTACCCCCATAGCAGAAATGCCCCCTGGTCCAGGAAGGAAGTCTTCCCCAACACCTAGGCTGGATTAAGTGCTTCTTCTGGGCCCTGTGATCCCTATGCTCCCCTTCATTCCTTATGTTCCCCTTTATCACAATAGGAGTCCCATTTCACTGTGCTGTGACTGTCTGTGTCTAGGACCGTGTCATGTAAGATGAGAGGCTAAGGGCAAGTCCATGTTCAGTTCCATCCTTCTGACACAGAACCTCTACCCCTAGGCCCTCAGGAAAGGCCTGGTGGACTGCTCTTGGAGGCAGGGAGCCCATCTGGGTTTCTAGCTGGCAGAGTCCTGAGTGGACACAGGTTAGGGGGCCCGAGGCTGCCAGGGGAGAAACCAAGCCTGAATATTCCAGGGCAGGGCTGGGGGTGTTCTCAGGCCATGTCCCCAGTCTGGGTTAAAGCCACTTATGACCTCTCCTGGCTCCTGGCCCAGTCTAACTCCCCAGTCCTGGCTTCCTTTCCAGTCTGGTCTTTCTTCAGCTTCCTCCTCCCTCTCATGACCTCTCTTGCCTACTGCCCTCCCTTCCCTTCCCCTTTCCCCTCTGCTCCCTGGCACTCTCTGTAATCTTCTACTCTCGGAAGACTGTGACTCCACTCTCCCTGAGTCTCTCCCCACAAATTCCCACAACTCTGACTTGCCCCCCACCATCCCTTTATCCCTTTCCCCTTTCTCTGACCCTCCGCCTTCTCTCTTACTCTCTGATTCCACTCTTACTGCCATCTCCTGACCTGGCCCTGACCCAGGTGTGGGGGAGCCTGGCACTCACCCCACAGTCAGTGGCCACCGTGTACTCAAAGTGGAACACCAGGGACCAGATGATGCAGAAGAAGAAGCCGAACATGGGGAAAGTGATGACCCACCAGATCATGGCCGTGAAGCGGAGCCGGAACACAGTCCCATCTGGATCCAAGGGCTGGGAGGCCGCAGAGAACATCCTGTAGGGAGTGGTGCCCAGGCAGGGCGAGGGACACAACTTGGGGCCTGGTGGGACACCTGGGCCTTGGGAAGTGGAGCCTTTTCCAGAGCTGGCTCCCTCTATAGGGAAGAGCCAGAGTAGAAAGAACATAAAGGGAAATGGAAAGCAGTGCAGAAGGTAAGGAGGTACAGAGAGAGATGGGGCGGGAGCAGCTGAGTCAGGCAGGGTCAGCTCTTAGGAATCCCTTTGGCACAATGGTCCTATAGGTCCACCTCTTAAAGAACCTGGAGAATAGAGGCTCCCAGTGGCCTGGACATGGGAGTTTGATGGGCCACTTCAATCTCAAGACTCTCACAGCCAACTCAGAAGGATCAGAGGTAGAAAGGTTATTACTTCTGTTCCATAGAACATTAGGACTAAGATTTTAGCCACTTGACAGATTAAAGCTCCCAAGTCAAGGCTTTCTTCAGGTCACATAACCTAGTCAAAGGACCCTTGGCTCAGACTGGTCCAAGCCCTCCCACTGACCCTGTCTGACCACATTCCTCCTCTTCACCCAAGTTCAACCAGGAACAGTGGGAGTGCCCAGAACCTATTTCAATGGGACCACAGGCTGCCAACCAGCCCACCCCCAGGCTCAGAATGATCCAAGCCTCAGGTCAACAGTACCATCATCTCAAGATACCAGGGTCCCTGCAGAGGCTTCTCCTTCCTCTCTAAGAAGACTATGTCACCCAATCCAAAGTTTATGGGAATCTGAGGGTCACGGGAACCTTCTCCACTCAGCTTGAGCCTATTGTGCTGGGCCAGACCCAGCAAGGACAGACCCAAACCAAGGGAGCTAGCTTCTTCCACTCCCTTCTCCTGCTAGGCAGAGAAGTCCCTCTTCCCACCCCTGACTGCCCCAACTACCATGACTTGTGAGATGGGTTCCCTTCTGGGGGGCAGACAGAAAGGCTTTGTATTCAAACGCCTAGGACCAAACCTCCCTTGGGACTCATACCACCCACGATTAAGGGAGCCCTAGTTCACTAGTCCAGCTCAGCATCAAGGAAATGGGGGAGGGGGCGCGAACTGAGCAACACTCACACTGGGTGCTGAAGGATCCGGGGCTTGGGTTGAGAGTTCTAGCCAGACTGAAACTATTCTAAGACTGGAGGGTCCCACCCCTAGCTCTCCAGGGCCTGCCCTCCCGCCCACAGAGCTCAGATCTCCACGCCTGCCCAAGCACACAGCCCTCCCAGGACCAACAAGACCATATCATAAACCCTGGAACACTCTGCAAAGGTAAGAGTGATAGTGGCTAAAGTCAGCCCACAACAGCTTCCTTGTCAGGGATGGGGGTGGGGACCCTTTTGAGAGTTGTATCCTGGGATCCAGGCAGTTTTCAGGGAAAGAAAAGGGAGAAAGCAAAATAGGATTTCACCCCTTTCTGTTGAAGCAGGAGTATGTCTGTTGGGCCTCATTGGAGAGCTAGCTAATCTTAGAACAATACATTCAGGATCCAAGACAGATCTGGACGGGCCTAAATATGAGGTTATCAGTGTCCAGTCTGGACCTGTGCAGAAACAGCTAACTCAGCTCAAGATGCCTTTAACAGGGGTCTAACAGCCAGTAATAGGAATGCAACGGTACTACTTTTCTCTGTGCTACCCAGGCCATATGAAGACCTATGCCCAGATCAGGGCCTCATATGAAGAGAATAGTGACCGACTGGGCCAAGTCTAGGGGCGCACGTCCTGTGAGGGTTGCCTGAAAGAACTGGAAATATGCTACCTAATAAGACTAAACTCGGGGACCCCTACCCCCATTACTGCCATCCCACCTCTGTAGGGCTGGCTTGATGCCAGGAGGAGAGAGAGTAGCTCTCAGGCTCCCAAAGCAGAGCCAGTGCAAAGGCAAAGATTCACCAAAAAGAGAATGTCATGTCCACTACAAGAAAGAGCTTGCTAATTGTTAGTTACTAAGCTTCCTTAGAATAGGCTGCCTGGAGAGGAAGGAAGCTCCCCATCACTGGAGATATGCAAGCAAACACAGAGTCATCTAAATTACAGATGTGTTAGAGTAAGGTTACTTTTTTTATTCCTAGGGTTGGCCATTTCTAGAATACTCCAGGTGAGAAATTCAGAGCATACATCCACCTGGGCTGCCCCAAGGTGGCTCCAACATGGTAGTCCCAGAGAGTGGGGACAAAATACCACCTGGGTCCCTAAGCTCAGTCCTGCCCCAGAGTGATCAGGTATCCCTCCTGCAACTACCTATGCCTTAGGATCCCTAACTAGTATGTCAAGAATGGGTTATAGGTATGCCAGATATGCTGGCTTACTGATCCCATTAGCCCTCAGGAGCCAGCCATGAGGGGCAAAGCAAACAGCCTATTCCATTTAATTCCATATGCCTTACAAATATAATTTTCTGCATGGACTAAGACTTGGTCTCAGGCTTCCTTTTCAAAGGGCACTGGGCTGATGCAGGGGGGAGGGGGTCCTATTCATTTATTCAACCAATTCTTCCTGATTCAGATGTAGTGCCCACCTTGAAGAAGCTCCTGGTCTGATGGGGAACAGAGATACAAATATGATATGATAGAACTGTATGAAAGATAAAACAGGGAACTGTGGGCACCCAGAGGAGAGAGTGATTAAGTCTTCCCCAAGGAGGCTAGGGAACGTTTTTCAAAGGAGGAGACATTTGAGGAGGGTTTTGCAGGATACAAAGGAGTTGACCAGGTGAGAGAAACATTTGATGCATTATCTAAGGTGAAAACTTGGTCAAGAAAAGCCATTGTTTGGATCCTTTTCGATCCTCCCCCTCAAGATCACCTGGTCAGCCCCTTTTTGTCCAGTCCTATTCTTTCTGATAGCTCCCAGCCCTGGGTCTCATAAGACTGGCTGCCTACCGCTCAAGGCCAACATCTACCCATCGACAAAGCAAGGAGAGAGAAAACTTCCAGTCATAAGAACAAAAGAAGTAGGCCCCACTCCATACTGCCATTCAGACCCCACTTCTAATCATAGTCCTATTTCTGGAGCAAATGCTCTTTATAGGGAGGCAGGAAGCTGAGCTGATTGGGGGCCTTCAGAGCTCTCTCTGATGCTCTTCCAAGGGTCCATGTCCAGGCCCTGCCTCCTTTCCACCTAGAGCCCATGGGCTCTTCCTCTCCTGCCCTGCCTTCCAACCTTACAATCTCTTTTCCTCCTACTCCTTCTGCTCCTCACCCTTCACACTTCCCAAACCACCTTCCTATCCTTCCCCTATCTGGAGCTCTACACTACTCCTGAGAAGGAGGATGGGAATTGCCAACCCCATTTTAAGACATGGGAAGCTGAGGCTCAGTCTCTGTGTCTCAGGTAATACAGAGTCAGTGGATGAAATTAGGAGTGTAACAGAGGTCAACACAGGTCTGACCCTCTTTACCCCGAAACATTACAGAGGAAACTCACATCTTTCCTCCTGGCCCAGCACACCATATCCCTGCTCAGAGGGCACATGCCTACCTGGGGAACATAGGCCATGAACACATATATACACACATCATCAGGCCCCCATCCAGACACACACAGATATGGTCTCTCCCAGACACATACAGTCACGTCCCTTACAGTCACACAGATGCATACATAATCACATTCTCACAGAGACAGGCACAGCCCACAGTGCCACACTAAGAGGCCCCAGCACCCTCTAGCCCAGTCCTGTTCTCTCTCCATCCCCCACGAAACCCGGGGGCTCTTGAATCTGCCCCTCTATGAAGTAAGGATTGAATTCTGGGGCTGCCCAATTTCAATGACTCCAGGCCCTAATGACCTCCATGGAAAGTGGCAGAAGGCTAATTCCTGAGACCTCAATTTGCAGGTACCCAGCAACCCAGTTTGTCTGATGGACCTCATTGGAGAGCTCACTAATCCTGTTACAACAGAATCAGGATCCAAAATCGATCCAATTGGACCTGAATATGAGATATTCCTTGACCCCCCCCCCCTTCGCAAGCCCTACCCCACAGTGTGTGGCCGTAGTCTCCTTGAAGTGGAAGAGCAGGGACCAGAGGATGCAGAAGAGGAAGGCGACAAGTGGACAGCAGACTGTGACCAGGGCCACCAGGGTGAAGCGGAGGCGGACCAGGGTCCCATCCCGGTCCAGTGGCAGTGGGACCTGGTACATCTTGTCAGACCTGGGGATGGAGTAGTATGCTGTCAAGGCCCAAGGCAGCAAGGCTGGGACTCTGTGGTAAAGCCAGCCCTTGTGCTGAGTCCTCAGCTTAGCTGAGCCATGGGATGGAGGGTCTGAGAAGAAAGCCATCTAGCCCCTAAACTTGGGACAGTTCCTGCCCTGGATGGGGACGATTGACTCAGAATCCCAAGAGGACATTCACCCTCAATTTCAGAGGAAAGACAATGAAGCAAATCTGTGCTAAAATGAAGCCTGAATAGATTGGGAGAGTTTCTTCTCCCCTATACCTGGCTTTACAGGTCTATGACAACAGGAGCTGGTTTAACTGGTCTCTCTTGTTTCAGGAACCAACCCTAAAACCTCCCAGTGAACAGAATAGTCCACCTTCTTTCACAGGCCTTTGAGCCTCTAGACTTCAGTTCTCCCTGCTTCACCCACTGGCCCAGGGCCTTCTGTACCTTCGGTCCCTTCCCAGGCTCTGTGTGTCTGCACCACAGTGCACAGCAGCAAGGGCTCCATGGAAGCCAGTAGAACCCTGACCCCCTGCTCGTCCCCACCTGCTGCCTCATGTGCTCTGAGGATGAAAGGCTTTGCAGAATCAGGCCTGGTGCTAGCCTGGGCTTGCTGTTTGCTGGAAAGAGCTGCCTGGTCAGCTTCTGGAGGCTTCCCAGAACCCGTGGGGCCTGTCCATCCCCCTCCAGAGATGAAGTAAAAGCTCCTGAGAACTGTTGACTCCCTGCTGAGATGAGGATACTAAGGTTAAGAACTATAATAACCAGGTATACACCAGCAATCCTAGCCCAGCCTCCCTAAGTGCACAGAGGGGAAATTGAGGCTAAGAGAGGAACAAGAACCTGCTCAGGGTCGCACAACAACTAGAAGGGAGAGCCAGCAGTGGGGAGATGTAGGGCCCACAGGGTCACAAACTGCAGCCCCAGCCTTCTTTGACCCCTTCGTCTCTGGGACAGACCTCTGGGTAGAAAGGTCAGGTTAGATCAGATTAGGAGGGGAGAGAGAAGGGGCACCTGTCATTAGAGAAAGAAAGGTAAATCAAATCCTATATAGATGAGTCAGTGAATCCTGTCCCCATTGCAAAGGCAGAGAAACCAAGATGCAGAGAGAGAAAGGCCCTTCCTCAAAGCCAGATGCTGAGCCTGACAGAAAGCCATCCTTGGAACTTAGGCTTCTTGTGGCCAAACTAGGGCTGGCTCCAGATTCATAAAGAACCCGCCCTTATGGACTCAAAGGTCTTGCCAGATCAAGTCCCAACTCTTCCTGGCCCCGCCCTCAGGAAGAACCTGAAGCTAACCTCCTAGCATTCCAGAACCAGGTGAATACGCCTCTGTGTTCTCCTCCATCTTCCCCCACCCGCCTCTCTTCCAGGCCTGATTAGTCAGCCTGCCCCAGTAGCCCAACTTCTTTTCTGCCTTCAGGAGCCAGGGATCTCCCAGAGGAATTGGAATTGGAGCTGGTGCCCCTCCCAAATTGAACACATTTCTTGGATCATCCCCAAATGGACTATAAGTCCCTAGAGACCCTAGAAGGGGAAGGACTTCCCCACCCAGCCCAAACCCTGATTTGGTGCTTGTAGCAGCACTAGTCCCCTCTCTGAAGCCAGTGGCTCTAGAAGCCTCGGGAACCACTGGGATGCCCAAACTGAAGAACAGATCCTCAGGGAATGAATAGGCACTGCTTGAGGCAGGGGGTGGGTAAAGAAGTTGGAGGAACAATCTGTTCCACTGCTTGGAGGTATGCCTGGCTCCTCTTTTAGCTGTGTGACCTTGGGCAAGTCATCTAACCACTCTGGGTCTTTTTCCACAGTTGTGCAACATGAAGATCATGTGGTTTAGATTACTAATATGGCCATTCCAACATGGTCATTTTACTTCTCCAGGCCTCAGGACAGGGAGCTCACTACCTGAAGGGCAGCTCTTCAGTCCCAGTCAGCTCTAACTTCTTCATACGTACTACTTAGCTGGAAACTGCTTTCTTAGGAGTACCCCTACCTTATCTCCAAAGGTCCCAGAGATCTTCTCAGCCTCCAGCCAGAATCCATACTTACTGGGTACCTTCTGAGTATGAGGCACCCTGCTTAGTGCTCCACATACATTGTTTCTTTTAACCCTCACTATAATTCTACGAGGCAGGCCCTATATAGCCTGTGTATTTCCATTTTACAGAACAGGAAACTGAGGCTCAAGGAGGTTAAAAACACTTGCCCAAGGTCACAGGCTAATAAATGGAAGAGGTGTAATTTGAAATTACTCTATCGGGTTCCAGAGACGCCCAACACCTACATCCCTGGCACCTAAAGAGAAATCCCCATCAGCAGACCCTGGAGAATGAAGGACAGCTCAACCAGTGCACAGCCAGCACCATGTGGGAGAGCAGTAGGGGTAAAGGGTTAGTTCAGAAGTCGGGACAGCAGCAGATCCTGGGCAAGCACCAGCACCTTGGGGCTGGGCGGTGAGAAAGCTGGACCTCGTGGCGGAGCTCCCCCAAGTGGGGTTGCCCCGCGATCCGTCACACCCATCCCCATACTCACCCAGGCTGTGGCGGCGAGGAGGCCGCGCCGGCGCAGGCCGGGCGCTGGGGGAACCCGAGGGGAGCCCAGGCCCGGCCTGGGGCAAGCGGCCGGGGGCGGGCCGGAGCGGGAACGGCGGGGGCGGGGCCAGCGCGCTTGGGGAGGAAACTGCGCCCAGATCCTCCATTGGCCCCTCCCCACTTCTGCGGACCTAGACCCTTGGCTCTCCGCCTTGATCCGGTGTCCCCTTGTGCCATGCCTCTCTAGCTCTGGTCTGTCCCACTAATTCCTGTTGCGTGGGGGCAGCCGGAAGAGCCCTGGACCCCTGGGTTTGACACGTTGGATAAGCCACCTTGTCACCTTACCTCTCAGCGGCGTTCCATCACCTGTTGAAAGAACATAAAATCGGTTCAACAAGCCCCGAATTCTCTAATTTTCTAGTCTCGGTGTCTCCTGCCCACGTCCCCATTCTAGCCGAATTATCCGGCCTCGCCCTTCTGAAACATTAAAACAGTTTTGCCCCAGCCTCAGCGCCCCTCCCCCTAACTTTGCTCCCCATAGCCGATTCCCGGCATTCAGCAAAGGGAAGAGCACGTTATAGGTAGAGAGATCAGGGAAGCCCACCCCAAAAACTCGGGGCCAGAGCTGTTCCCGGCTTTGATCAGGAGAGGGCGCTCTGTCCTGACATAACAGAGCAAGGCTCTCCTTTCCCCAGTCCTGGGTCTGCCCCACCACGAGAGGGTTGATCCGCAGAAACCAACCCAGCCCACAGGGTTCCCTCCCCACCCAGACTGACCCCTGAAGGAACCCGAGGAAGATTCTTGGGGTTGTCAGAGCACCTGCAGGGGGTGAAGACCTCTGACCTAGACGTAGTTACCATCACAGTTTTCCTAGTCATATATCCCCACAGTAATAGCACATTTTGAGCACCCTCTGTTTTCCAGGCACTTTTCTATTTTTTATGCATTATCCCATTTGATCCTTATAAAAACTCCATGAGATGGATACTATTAACATCCCTGTTTTAGAAAAGGTATGTTACCTATTCACACAGCTATAAATGTCAGAAACAGGATTGGAGTCCCGCACCTGAGGTCATTCCCTTAATCCCTCCCTATATAGTTGACCCTGGAACAACCCGGGTTTGAACAGCACGTGTCCACTTACACGTGGATTTTTTGATACAGCACAGTACTATAAATGTATATTTTCTCCCTTATGGTTTTAAGAAAAAAAAAATTGTTTTTTAAAGTAGGCTCCACACCCAATGTGGGGCTCCAACTCACAACCCCAAGATCAAGTCACATGCTCTACCAACCGAGCCAGCCAAGTGCCCCCTCTTCCTTATGATTTTCTTAATAACATTTTCTTTTCTCTAGCTTACTTTATTGTAAGAATATGTCATACAAAACATATACAAAGCATGTGTTAATCAATAGTTTGTTATCGGTAAAGCTTCCAGTCAACAGTAGGGTATTTGTAGTTGTTTTGGGGAGTCAAAAATTATACATGGAGTTTTTACTGTGTGGGGGCGGGGGGGGGGTCAGCACCCCTAACCCCTGCATTGTTCAAGAGTCAACTGTATAATGTTAATCCCACAAGGTAGCTACACTCACCATTTTGCATGTGGATACAGAGGCTCAAATTTGATTAACTTACCAGAGATCTTTTTCATGCATTCATTCTTGTTCATTCACTCAGCCTAGCCCTTTCTGTGGCAGGCCCTGACTGGGCAATGGTGGCAGACCCAGAGATAACTCACTCCTGGAGGCTCCAAGTCTGGCGGGACAATGTCCTATTCTAGTGACTTTGAACTCCTCTCCACCCTGTGCTTTAGGGTCCCAGGGCAAATGAACAATTAGTAAAACTGTACTAAAAGAACCACCTCCTTTTAGTTTCAACGATTAGATGTAGGTTTTCTACTTCAGGGCTTTGTGTCATCTTCTTTGTCTACCTCCAACATACAGATGCTTGCTCCTGGCCTTTATTCCCTGTCTTTATTCCCTGACCCTATTCCTTGTCTGTTCCTTTGGCCCTAAATACCATTCCCTGAGGCTGGGTCCCTTCTCTGTGCCTCTAGACTACCCCCAATGCCTGAAACTTGAGGTGCATTAATCTTGCCATTAATTCTTTGGTGATTTGGGCAATTCACCATACAGTCCTGAATCTCAGTTTCCTCATCTGTAAAATGGTTTTAGGAATATCCACAGCACAAGGTTGTCCTGGGGATTAAGTGAGGTAAAACAGCAGTGTGCCAGGTATGCAGGAGATACTCAAGACACCCTGGCTATTGTGATGAGATGTGGAAGCTATGGTCTGAACTTGTCCTGACTGAGCCTTTTCTTTTCTTTTTTTGATTTATTTTTTAACATTTATTCATTTTTGAGAGTGAGACAGACAGAGCATGAGCAGGGGAGGGGCAGAGAGGGAGACACAGAATCCAAAGCAGGCTCCAGGCTCCAAGCCATCCACACAGAGCCCAACGTGGGGCTCGAACTCATGGACCGCGAGATCATGACCTGAGCTGAAGTCACACGCTCAACCGACTGAGCCACCCAGGCACCCCAAGACTGAGCCTTTTCTGAACTGTGTGACCTCAGCCATCACTGACCCTCTCTGAATCTATTTCTTCCTCTGTCAGTTCCAAAGCCTATCACCTTGATTTACGTGAGGAAAAGTAGAAGAATGAGTTCTTACTAGGCGCAAGGAACTTTATGTACACTTTCTTATTCAATCCTCCTAATAATCTGGTGAGGTAAATTTGATGGAATATATTTTACAGATAAAGAAGTTGAACAAGCATCTAAGCTTCTAGTCTTGCCTTCAATTCAGTGGGCAGTCAGTGTTTGCTGAATCGGCATTTGTCTGTAATCCAAGTAGTTGCTGCTGCTGCCCTTGAAACCTTCCAGTGTCTCCTGTCCTCCTGGTTGGTTTGCCTTGTGCCTGGACATACCTCAGAGAGGCCTGTGCCTGAAATAGCACCAATATTGTCCAGCTTTGGCCACAGTCACTGCTCCACTCCCCCTGTCCACACATACATACTAGATTCCCCAAGCTGACTGAGCATTTATTTACAGGGATGCTCCAGCCCGCAGTAGCATGGAGGCAGTACAGAGGTGGGAAGCAGAAGAAAAGTGAATGTGGGATGTAGTTGTTAAGGAAAGCTTCCTGAGGCTCTGCTTCACTGGTTTCCTTGCTCTTCTAACTCTTCATCATCCTCCCCATTTACAGCCACATTGGCTCTTCTTAAAACACAGATCTGGGGGTGCCTGGGTAGCTCAGTCGGTTAAGTGTCTGACCCTTGATTTTGGCTCAGGTCATGATCTCATGGTTCGTGAGATCGAGCCCTACATCGGGCTCTGTGCTGACAGCACAAAGCCTACTTGGGATTCTCTCTCTCTCCTTCTCTCTCTGTCCCTCCCCAGCTGATGTTTGCTATCTCTCTCTCTCCTCTCTCTCTCAAAATAAATAAATAAACATTTTAAAAAACCATACAGATCTGATCATGTGTCTCTCTTGCTGCAAATTGTTTAGCAACTCCCTATGGCATTTAGGATCAAGAGCAAATTCCTTAGTGTGGTATTCATCATCCTTCGTTATCTGGCCATCCTCTACTCTAGCAAACACATATTTTACATTCTAGCTACGCTCATTTTTTCCATGAGCTTTGCTCAACTTCCTCCTTATCTCTCCGTAAGCACCATGATTCACCCACCTCCCCACTCCACAGGAAGCATTAGAAGTCCATCACACCTTTATTAGGACTGACCACAATGTAGTGAAATTATTAAGTGTCTGTTCCCCTCTCCTTCCTGGAAACCCATTTAAGGATGGAACCCTCACCTGTTCCACTTATTTCTGAATCTCTCAGCTTAGGCCAGAGATAGACACAAAGGAAGCCCAGAAAATATTTGATTGAAGGGTTGATTTAATTGAATTGGGTTTTGAAGGATGGACAGGATTTGGATGTATCAAGAAGAGATTTAGGAACTGTAAGAAAAGCCTTTGAGGAAAGACCACTGTTGTAGGGGTAGAGGCAGAATAAGCATGGCTAGGGATAGGTAAAGAGGCAAGGACGCAGTGCTAAAGATACCCGGTTTCAGGCCAAACTCTGACCCTGCCTCCCGGGCAGCCTCAGGAAAGTCTTCCAGGGTTGTTCTTTGTTCTTCCTAGAGATCTTTTTCACACCAGAGGCATCCTCCTCGGATGACTTTAAACTATCCACCCTAGGCACACCCATCTTGCTGTAGGCCCATTCTGCCTCAAATAGTAATTAAATCTTCATTGTATATTTTGTTCTTCATTGTTCAACTTTCTCTGGCTCCCCTATCACTTCTAGGATGAAATCTTAGTTTGTATCTCTGGATATACTGAGCTCTTTCTTGGTCCTACATCTTTTTTCTCTCTGTTCCTCCGACCTAGGATGTTTTTTTTTTTCCTCCATCTTGGCAAACTGTACCATAAAGGTATTGATTAATAGCACACTTAGGAATGCATATGGGAACTTCTAGGGAGATCACTAAAATAATATAAAAAGAGAATTTAATTTCCAAGCTGGTACAGGAGGAAAAATGAAATAATCCAAAAGAATGTTAAGAAAGCAGAGATTTAGGGGTGTCTGGGTGGCTCAGTCAGTTGAGTGGCTGACTCTTGATTTTAGCTCAGTTCATGATCTCAGGGTCGTGGGATTGAGCCTCATGTTGGGCTCAGCACTGAGCATGGATCCTGCCTGGGATTCCTTCTCTCTCTCTCTCTCTCTCTCTCTCTCCCTCTGCCCTTCTCCCCTACTTGTGCGCACACACGCTCTCTCTAAAAAAAAAAAAATACATATGTACATATTTTTTTTCTAAGCAGAAATTTAATGGAAAATAAGCACTTGAAGAGATGGTCAATATCATTAATCATTAGGGAAATGTATATGAAAACCACAATGAGATGTCACTTCATAGCCCTTAGGATGGCTACAATTGAAAAAAAAGGAATATAGCAAGTATTGGCAAGGATGAGGAGAAATTGGAACCCTCATCTATTGCTAATAGGAATGTAAAATAGTACAGCCACTTTGGAAAACAGTCTGGTAGTTCCTCTAAAAGTTAAACATAGAGTTACCATAGGACCCCATAAATCTACTCCTAGGTATAAACACAAGAGAACTGAAAACATATGTCCATGAAAAACTTATACACAAATGTCCATAGCAGCATTATTCATGGTAGCCACAAGGTAGAAACTCAAATGCCATCAGCTTATGAATGTATAAACAAAATATGGCATATCCATAAAATGGAATATTATTCTATCATAAAACAGAATAAAATTCTGATACACACTATAACACATATGAACCTTGAAAACATGTTAAGTGAAAGAAGTCAGACACAAAGGCCACATATTGTATGATTCCATCTATAGAAAATGTTCAGATAGGCAAATTCATCAAGACAGAAAGTAGATTAGTAGTTGCTAGGAGCTGGGGGAAGGGGGAAATGGGGAATGACTGCTAATTGTCTGGGATTTCTTTTTGGGGTTATGAAAATCTTCTGGAATTAGATAGTAGTGATAGTTGCACAACTTCATGAATACAGTTGACCTTTGAACAACACAGGGGTTAGGGACACTAGACCCACACAGTCCAAAATCCATGTATAACTTTGACTCCCCAAAACCTTAACTACTAAGAGCCTACTGTTGACCAGAAGCCTTACTGATAACATAAACAGTTAATTAACACACATTTTGTATGTTGTATGTATTATGTACTGTAGTCTTACAATAAAGTAAGCTAGAGAAAATAATGTTATTAAGAAACTCATAAGGGAGAGAAAATACATTTACAGTACTGTATTTATTGGAAAAAAAATCCTCATATAAATGGACCTGCACACTTCAAACCCATGTTGTTAAAGGGTCAACTTTACTACAACCCTCTGAATTCTATACTTAAAATGGGTAAATATTATATTATGTGAATTATATCTCAATTAAAACAATCTGGCAGGACTGCACCTCAAAAAATGGAGGTTATTATTACAAAAAAACTAAAATGAAAAACAAATTAAGGAAAAAACCCAGAAACAGAACAGTAGGACAAATAGAAAATGTTAGATTAAATTCTGAATATACCAATAAATTCGTTAAGTGTAATAGACTAAATGCTCTAGTTTAAAGTCAAAGGTATTCACATAAGATTTATAAAAATCTAATTATATGCTATTTATAAACATCATTCCTCCCTTCAGTTGTAGAAAAAGAGGAAGGAAATCAACATTTACTGGGTGCTTACTGTGTGTCAAACATGTGCCCAGTCCATTGCAAATTCCCTTATTTGACATTTACAATCACTTTACAACATGGGAATTTTTGTGCCTTTTCATAGACAAGAAAACTGGGTCACAGAACAGTTAAATAATTTGTGCAAGGTCTAAAAAGTAGGAAGTCTGGTACTTAAACTTAGCTGTTTGACTCCAACTCTGTCACTCTTTCCTACGCACCACCTAAGAAATCTAAACCATTAGGGGGCGCCTGGGTGGCTCAGTCGGTTGAGCTTCGAACTTCGGCTCAGGTCACAATCTCATGGTTCGTGAGCTTGAGTCCCACATCTGAGCTGTCAGCACAGCCTGGAGCCTGCTTTGGATTCTGTGTCTCCCTCCCTCTCTCTGCCCCTCCCCTGCTCATGCTCTCTCGCTCTCTCTCTCAAAAATAAGTCATTTAAAAACATTAAAAAAAAAAAAAGAAAGAAATCTAGGCCCTCACTCTAAATTTTTTTTTTCAACGTTTATTTTATTTTTGGGATAGAGAGAGACAGAGCATGAACGGGGGAGGGGCAGAGAGAGAGGGAGACACAGAATTGGAAACAGGCTCCAGGCTTCGAGCCATCAGCCCAGAGCCTGACGCGGGGCTCAAACTCACGGACCGTGAGATCGTGACCTGGCTGAAGTCAGAGGCTTAACCGGCTGCGCCACCCAGGCGCCCCTAGGCCCTCACTTTAAAAGGAAGTCTCTTGCCCTTCCCCGATTCTGCAATCCTTATGGGTCCTGTCTCTGCTCTGAGCACCAATCCTTCAAAGCTGCTGCATAGGGTGAGTTCTCAGAGTATGTATCTGAGACACTGGGGTTTCCCAGGAAAGCTGGACTTTCCTTTGCTTTGTCTCTCTGGGCCAGAGCAGAGTGTTAAGCTGTGGACTTCTTGGGCTCCTGAAGCCCAAGAGAGGGTTTGGCTCAGCAAGTTTTTGTGAGCATGCACCAAACTTCTTTTCTTTAGAGGTGAAGAAGGAATGAAGAGACTAGAAGGGGGTTATGAGAATTAGAGTGAGAGTATGTGGTCCACAAAGTCCTTCCGAGGGCAGAAGTACCTGGGAATGATGAGCATGTGGGCCACATGCCTACCAGAGTATCTAACAAGAGGTCCTTCTATTTAGAAATGACCATGGTCATAGGAAATTGCTCCCTGCCACACTCCTCATCTAATGTCTCTTCCTCCAGTCTTCCCACAAGTATGTGGGATCCTACTTAAGGATCTCAGCTCCTGAATACCTGCCAGCACTTTGACCTGAATGTATTTACTTAATTAATCACTTAAAACATATTTCTGGGAGCCATTTCTGTGTCAGAATCAATGTCTTAGAATAGTTAGAATGGGAATTCCTTGACATTTTTAAAGAATAGGAATAATTATCATTTATTGAGGGCTTACTGTATACTGGGTACCATACTAAATGCTTTATCTCATTTAATTCTCTCGATAACCTTAAAGGCAATTACAGTTGTTACCCTCATTTTACACACAAGGAAACTGAGGCTTAGGGGTTAAAAATTTGCCCAAGTTGACATAGCTAATAAATGGTTGGGATCAGGAGTAAACTCAGGGTTCCCTAACTCAAAAGTCTCACACTTCTACGACTATTCTACTTAAGAAAGTCATTCATCCATTCATCAAACATTTAATGTGCACCTATACTTTGTGCCTGGGCTTAGGGACACCAGAATAAATAAGTGGAGGAGAGGTTTAATCATATTTGGGTTTCAGGATTGGAGGGTGAGAAATCAAATGTTCTGTAGGTCAGTGAGGAAGCTATAGTAAACTATCCAGGGAGAACTAATGACTTTCCAATGTAGAACACAGGAAAGGGAGGATGAAGCAGAGGGATATTTGGATGCAGGAGTGGGGGGAATGTGGCTGGAGTCAGATGTTTAAACTAGCTTTACTATTTGACCATCCACATATTTATTTGTTTCTTCCTCTGAGCATCTACTGAGCACCTACAATGTATCAGATTTCTACTGTTATCTTATTTCATCTTTACAAGCATTCCACTTTTGGCCAAATTAGTCAATTATTTGTAATCCCTCGCTACCACTGAACACTCAGAGGGATTTAAATTTATCTACTTTTGGGCAGAGCCCACTTCAATTCTGTGTTGATGTTCCAGGAAAAAGTGGTGGTGGAGAGGTAGTCTGAATAGGTTTTGCTTTCTGAGCACAGTCCCTGCTATTCTGCATGGGACCCTCAGTCACTAGGTCTAGTTTCTAGAACATGCTCAACCTTCTCCCTTGTAATATCAAGCGTCTGTCCTGGGCTAGGCCACGGGAGAAAGAAACCCCAATGAATAAAACGCAGCTCTGACTTCTAAGAGCCTGAGCACAGAAGACAGGAAAATAATAGGATACAAAGTGACAAGGCTGTAACAGAGGCCTGCCCAAGCATTAGCCAAACTCCCTCAGAGAAATCCGGGAATGTATCCCAGAGAAGGCAGGAACATTTGAACCAGGCCTTTAAGACAAATAGGAGTTCCTAAGTGCAGGTGGGAAAGAAGTTCCAAGAACCCTCATTTGTAACAAATCCTATGTTGAGCCATTCCCTCACGGCATGCTCATAGCGTACATTAGAGAGATTCAAAGAAGGAAAGGTTGTGATGAGGCCGGCATGGGTTGGGAGACCAGGAGGCCAGGTTTTGGGGCCTCGTAGCAGCTGCAGGCAAGCTACACGGAGAGACAGACCTCCCAGGAGGGCCCTCCAGCTCCGCACGTGGTCTGGCCAGGAAGTGCGGGCAGGACTACGGGGAAGCCTTCCCATCACCGCCCGCGGACTGGGGCAAGGAAAGGGTAGAATAGTTACCATGCCATCGTTGGAGCCTCCCCTCTGATTGGCCCGAGCTTCAGCAGCCCGACTGTCTCGGCTCCAAGGAAGGGGGAGGAACCTGTGTATAGCGTCACCTCTCTTCTCCCACACCCCGCCCGATGCACCCCCACGCAGCCACTCACAAGCCCACTTCGAGGGGGGCCCTGTATGACGTCACGACTCCTCCAGCCAATCTCGGCAGAGAGGGGCGGGACTCCATGTCCCTCCCATCGCCCCTCCCCGCTCCTCCCCGTAACTCCTCTGTCCCTCCTCTTCCCCCCTTTCCTTTTCTCCCGAAGACCGCCCTCACGTTCGGTTTCAAAAGACTCGTTGCCCAATGAATAACAGGGCGGGCCTAGAGTGGCGGCGGCTTCTGCCAATGCTCAGACAGCGAGGGCGGAGCGTCGGGAGCGAGCCTCTGACGGCGGGCGGCGTGTGACGCAGTCGGGCCCTCTGCGCGCTGCGCCCGAAGCGGCGGTCGGTGGCGGTGGTGGTAGCGGCGGCGACGGTTTCGTGGCGGCCGCGCGCTGCTCTCTGAGCGGCGGGTGGTGGACGGGCCTAGGCCTTCACTCCTGACACCTCCCTTCCCCCACCGCACCGCGGTAAGTCGGGAGCCGGGGCGGTGGCGGCCCGGGACCGACAGGCTCCTCCTCTCCTCAGGGCGGGCGGGTGCGCGGGGCGTCCCAGGCCTCCTCGCAGAAGTCTCGCGCCCCGGCGCGCACCTACTGCCCTGAGGGAGGGGGCGGGGCCCGCGACCCGGCGGCCCCAAGGCCGGGCTCCTCAGGCGCTGGGAGGGAATCGATATCGGTGGAGTATGGGCCCCGGGGTCTCCAGTTGCAGCCTGCGCTGGAGGAGCGTCCGTGTATCTGGTGGTACTCATTCATTTGCCTGGCTGTGATTAGGTGGGCGGGCCCTTTGCGGGGGCCGCGTCTTAACTCCCTGACAAGGGTCTCCCCAGCACTTTCTTGACCGTAGTGTGGGATGGGCGGGATGGGCTTCAATTTGTCTTGGCTACTTCACGGCTTGCCAAGGTTTGCCCGAGGTTTAGGGTGGGTGGGTCAGGAGTTTGTTAGCTTTTTAAAACAATATCTGAAAATTAAGGTCGGTTTAGTGGAGTAAAAGGTTATTTTTTTTTGCCCTCCCACGTGTTCTTTGTAAAACTAGATGAGAAAGATGGGATATCTGGATTACTATAGCCGGAAGGACCTTAGAAATTAAGCCAATCCTCCTACGGTACGTCACTAGCAAGTTTTATAGATGGAGAAACTGAGGCCCAGAGAAGGGACGGGATTAGTGAATACCAGATCTGACTCAGTCTAGAAAATATTCTCGTGTATCACCCTCCTTGGGTGTTCCAGCCTCCCATTATTGGCGGCAGGGGTGGGGGGGCTTTCGGTAGTTGGCAGCAGTCTTCAGTAGCGTTTCCGTTCTGGTTGCTACCAGGTCTGTTCATAGTAAGGCAGAAGCTTCATATGCGGTACCCTAACCTAAACTATGAGAACTCAAAAGTTGGTTAAAGAATGTCAATGATGTAACGTATTGGAAACGAATCGATAAGACTACATACATGTCTTTGGCTAGCTTCCTGTTTCAAATCTGAAATTTTTATTTGTATCAGCTGCTGGGGACTCAGAAGAGAGTCCAGTTAGTGACTCACAGAAGCATTGGAATAGAAAGCAAGAAATATAGACAAGGCTTAGAAAGAGAGGCAGCAGTTATTTTGTAGTTCTGGTACCTCGGAACTCATGGTTCCTTTCTGGTGCAGAATTCAAAGTATTGTAGTAGAGTAAGATGAGAAAATGAAACTGTTCGGAAGAGGAAACTAACTGGAAGAAAGAAAAGAGCAGTGATCATGATCTGACAGTCTTATAAATTCAGAAAAGTGCTGGTTAACTGGGTGACAGATGGTATGTTTACTTGGAGGAAGAAGTTAGCATATTAAAAAAAAACAACGTGGACAAATTGGAGGTACTGGGAAATACTTTGATAGAATTATTTTTTGACTCTTCATTAGGATTGGATGAAATTGAATTGAAAGTTGCCACTTTGGTCTATTTACATTGGTCAGATCATCACTTTGCTCTTGTTTAGATGACGAAGCAAAAACAGAACTAGTGCATAAGAGCAGAGGAGTAGTAGTTTAAACACTGAGATGTGAACCGTGTATTTTCTGTGACATTTTCTCAGTTCAAGCGTCACCCTCTTCTGGGAAGCCTTTCCTGGCATTGTCTCCTGTAAGCTTCCCTAACACTTATTTGATACTTCTATTTATAGCACAAATCATTTTGTATTTTAGCTGTTTATCTTATTTAGACTGTGGTAAATATTTTTGTCTTTGTATTCAAGTTGCTTGGCACATAGTAGGCCAAGTAGTGTTTCCTTGAAGGGATAAACAAATATGGAGCAGTTAAACCTAAAAATAGTCTATAAAAAGACTGAGTATATGTGTGCTCCTGCAATATGGGGCCTAGATAAGACGACCCATACTGTTCGTATGTTACATGGTACTTTGGTATCTGACTTCATTCATGTCTAATAGCTCATAGATAGTTAAGAGCAAATAGAACTTTTAGGGAACCAAATTTACGGCTTGGAAGAAATTGGGTATTTTTTTGTGATATTGTGATATTTTTATTGTAGCAATAAACCTAGGAAGTAAGGGATAGTAGTTCTGATGTTTAATTTCCAATAGAGAGCATATTGTATTACATAGAGCATTGTAATTATGCAATTTGTTGAAAGGTTAGAAAGAAATTAATTTAACAATATAAATATTAGAGGCAAGGCATGTAAACAACGGTTTTTGAGAATTTAGTGCATTTCTTTGGGTTTGGAATTGAACCTAAGTATTTGGCATCACATGTCTCTAGAGACGATTTTTCATCCTGAACATGTTGAAATTTTGGGCCAGATAATTCTTTTTGTCTGGGAGCTGTGTTGTGTATTGGTGGATAGTTAGCAGCATTCCCCACCTCTACCCATTAGATATCCATAATACCCCCTCCCCAAGTTGTAACAATTAAGAAGGTTTCTAAACATTGTTAGATGTCCACTGGGAAGCAAAATTGCCTGGATTGGGAGATCACTGCTCTTGAGAATACATTACCAATATTTCAGTAAAGTCATACCTTTATCTTACCTGGTGTATGCTTGTAAAGTCAGCTGTACAGATGCTTACATTTTGTCAAACTGTCCTTGAAAAACCCTTAAATTGTCAAAATCTGGTATCCGGCAGCTGAAAAGCTGAGAGTCCTAGAGTAACTTTCTTTAGTTTCCTTTATTTCCGTGGTAGCCTTCCTTTCTCTGGGATAGAAATCAAGGTCTTTTTGAAAGGGGATAGGCCATTGGGTAAATAAAGCAATATCTAGTTCTCTTTTTGTGGAAGAGGGCAAAAGAGCTTGTAGTTGAATTGATGCGATTAAATGTGATGCTGTGGGATTCCATTATCTTTCATATTACTGATACATTTGATGTCGTATGAGTATGCATTGATCAGAAGTCTTGTCCTTTTGTACTGACACTGAATTGTCATATTGAAGAGTTTGTACTTAAAGTGTAATGCAGTTTTGTAGTAGAGAAATGAAAATTATTTCTTAAAATATAGCTCTAATTACCTAAGTCTGATACTAAGAGTGAGTTTAAGCTGGTGAGTAGTAGTGTAAATTGGAAGATGTCAAACTGGAATCTGGCAAATGAATTAGAAGGAGGCTGTAGGAATATTCTAGTACAGCAGTTCTCAAAATTTGAGGTCTTTGGACTCCTTTATACTTCTAAAAATTATTGAATACTCCAGAGAACCTTTGTTTATATGGGTTATATCTACTCTTATTTACTGTACTAGAAAATTAAAATTAAAAAAAAACTTTTTAAAATATTTATTTATTTTTGAGAGAGAGAGACAAAGAGACAGAGAGACAGGGTGAGCGGGGAAGGGGCAGAGGGAGAGGGAGACACAGAATCCGAAGCAGGCTCCAGGCTCTGAGCTGTCAGCACAGAGCCTGACACTGGGCCTGAACTCCTGAGCTGTGAGATCATGACCTGAGCCAAAGTTGGACGCATAACCAACTGAGTTACCCAGGTACCCCATAGAAATTAAAAGTTTTAAAGATTTATTGACTTGGGGGTGGGAGGGAGGAGAGGGTGGGTGATGGGTATTGAGGAGGGCACCTTTTGGGATGAGCACTGGGTGTTGTATGGAAACCAATTTGACAATAAATTTCATATATTAAAAAAAAAGATTTATTGACTTAAATAATCTCATTTGTTAACAATTTCATTTAAAAAATGAACCCCAAGAGTGGGGTTTTATATGTTTGTAAATCTCTTTGATGTCAGGCTTAATAGAGGACCACTGGATTTGCAGATCTTTTGCATTAGATAGTTGATAAGTTGTTTTGGTTGAAGTATGTTAAGAAAATCCTGCCTCATACAGAAAAGGGTGGGAAAGGGAGGAATGTTTTAATAACCTTTTCAAGTAATTGTAGGTATTCTCCTTTGACACTATACTTAACACGTTTCTAAAGATTTGTTGCAATATGGAATCTGAAACCATATTATTGAACTTTTGTACAGTGTTACATTAAAATTCATTGGTCTGTCTTGTACTTTGAATGTTTACCATGCATGATTTTATGACTTCATACATTGATCATTTAGAAATTATTGGTTCACTGGGTTATGTACCTCTTCCAAATGTTGACAAATTTAATTATACAGTTGTTAACATTTCCACCCATCTCATCAGCTAAGTCTTTTAAGAATTGGGAAGTTGGCAAGCTCATAGTGGTAGACATAATTCTAATTTTTTGTTTCAAGTCTGAGTAACCATAGTTTATCGTTTATTCTCTGAAGTAAAAATGATGTTTCATGAAAAAATCAGCTGGTTCAGCTTTCTACTCAGGTAATCACACAAGTGTTTTTCTTTGAGATAGCCCTTGTGTTTCCATTTACAAGAAGTGCTTTTGAGTATTTCCCATTTCATCGCAAAGAATAATCACCGAGTATTAAAAAGATGTGAGACACTTGGGTGGCTCAGTTGGTTAAGCATCTGACTTCATCTTTAGGTCATGATCTTGCGGTCCATGAGTTCCAACCCCGAGTCGGGCTCTGTGCTG